CCGAGAGCATTCCCGCCGCTGAAAATGCCAACGACACCATTTCTGTCAACATTCCGACGCCGGAAGCTGCAGCATGAAGGCATTCAAATAGCATGATCGAGGATGCGGCCAAGTGCAATGCCACCAGTGATGATGAACAAGCTGTGTCGAGTGTCAAACAGGGGCCCGTGAAACCCAGCGTGTAGGAGACTCAACCAGACGCGACCGATAGCGCCCCCGAGGTCCCAGCATATACTGACAGCGTGCTCTTCGAGCATGTCCGAGACTGATTTGCTTTATCACTACCGGTCTCGCTTGAAAGACTGCCGCCGGCACCTAGGAAAAAACCGACAGCCGAATTTCCTTAACAATTAAACACATCAAACATAGAATGGCTGCTATCTAGAAGTAGCACCATTTATGGATTCATAGTCTCCGCCTCCGTCGTCGAGATCCCAAACGAGGTTGCATCTGATGCGACCACGACTATGGATCCATATCTGGTCGGAGAAGGAGGATTTCCCTACACGTCATGCCATCACGATACAGGCACGACCAAATTCGTTACCAAGGCCAGCATTACGAGGTTTGTGAATTGACCGTTCGTGAAAAGAAATCCCGGCAACAAAAATCAAAACAAGTGAAACAATTCAACTTGTCCTGGTCACCCGGTTGTTCGTGCCCCCTATTGATGTGGCGCTAACAGGGAGGAGCCATGATCGGGCTCGACTGTACAAGGTGTTCCAGAAATGAAACTAGCTAGGGCATCGATCGTAGGATGATCAAACAGTACTGTTGCTGATAACTCCATCGTGAATTGTTCAGACATTGCCTTGACGAGTTCGGGTGCGATGACTGAGTCCAATCCGGCGGACATCAGTGAAATTTGCGTGTCTATGATTGTGCCGAGCTCTTCAAGAAGCTACTGCCGCATGAAATCCGCTATTTACCATCACTTAAGCCCAGTTTAGGAAAGGCTGCATAACCCGGGTACTGGATGAATTGGGTCGTCCTACATGAGCTCCTTTTATGATATGACCGGCATTTTCACTCTCGAGTTCCAAATTAAGCACTTCACGTTACTCGACACCAAGCATGCGGTTAGAGGCATGATATCTAGTGTGTGCCCGTTTGCAACCGTGCTGTTGCCATTTTGACCCTGCTGCACAAAGCTGATGCAAATCTGAGGAGAGAATGCAACGGGGACACTTTAGCAGCGAAGAACACCAGTCCTTGCGATAAGGACACGCCAGAAATTTTCGTTGATGCCGCGTGTGTCTAGTAAGGTGGGTCATCTTCCTTTCGCATCATAAAGGTCACTTCTGTTTCTAGCCTGCGCTTGAAATCTGTGCCATCCAACAAACAAGGTCGAATCGTTTTTTTTAGGGAACAGATGACAATGCCAATCTATCCCATTGAATGCGCATAATTTTCATTTTGAGGGACGTGCACAACAGAATGAAAATTTGAGGTCTCTTGGCGATTATATTACGAACGGCTCTTTGTCATTTGTGAGAAATTAATCACCGAATCACGCGCCGATGCGTTGATGCTCAACCGCAATCATGACGCAGAAAGAAATTTCGATTCTTGCCAGGCGCCCGCTCGAGTCAAAGTTGTACGATGATTTTGATAGCAACCTTGGGTGTTCCTCATACGTCTGAGGCATCCAGAATTCACCAATGGTGCCGTTGCAAAAACGACACCATGAATTTCTTTCTTGGAGCTGACGTTGAAGCATTGTCCCTTTTCACAAAACTGATGCAGCTTACATGTTCATTGTGAATAATCTGTCGTGTTTGTCCCGCATAACTTCATATTGTGCTTCTTTTGATCATTTTGTGGCTTATGCCTTTACGTTTTCTTGGCGCCTAAACCAGATGTCGCTAGGTGGCACTTACTGCTTCACAAAGCCACGGGCTCCCAATCTGCTATACTTATCAAACATGGCGT